ATCCTCCTCCCTCAGCCACCTGAATGGGTGGGACTACAGGCACACACCACCACACCCATCTAATTTTTTATTTTTTGTAGAGATAGGGTCTCACTATGTTGCCCAGGTTGGTCTTGAACTCCTGGATGTCAGTGATCCTCTCATCTCGGCCTCCCAAAGGGCTGGGTTTATAGGTGTGAGCCACCGTGTCTGGCTCCAAGACCTTTTATTGTTGCAGAAATCCATCCACGAGGACAGGGCCTACCATCGGGCCCCACCTCCCTATACTGTTGCACCGGGGAGTGAGTTTCCAGCCTGTGAATTTGCAGACACATTCACCCACCAGCACCAGGCAACAGAGTGCTGCCTGATGCTGCTACCCAGAGTAACACAGGAGGTATGAGATCCACATTACAGAGGCGAATGGGCTGCTGATGACACTGATGTTGGTGATCAAATAGTTTGCAGGGGGCCTGGGCAACATGGTGAGACCCCCCCCACCCACAAAAAAAATTAGCTGGGGTTGGTGGCTTGTGCCTGTAGTCCCAGCTACTCAGGAGACTTAGGTGGGAAGATGGCTTGAGCCCAGGAGTTCTAGACTGCAGTGAGTCATCATAGCACTCCTGTGCTCCAGCCTGTGCAACAGAGTGAAACTCTGTCTCTGGAATTAAAGAAAAGTTCCGAAGTGGGAGAGATTTTCTTCCCTCTCCCCTGCCTGGCCCTGTCCCAGGGCTTCATTCTTAGGAAGGAGGGATGCTCTGGGAACCCCTGAGTTTGGAAGTTGCTCTGGTAGGATTTTGCAGCTGGGTGTGTGGGCAGTGGGGGCTCCCCTGCCTTTAGGCTGCCCACTGCCCTCTGCTGGCTGGGCCTCACCTCCACTGATCCTCAGAGGTGCTCCCCACTTAAGGGCAGGTGCCTGACACCCTGAGGCCAGTTGTGCAGAAGGCTGGAAAATGCCTGGAGTGTGTGTGTGTCCTCTTTGGCACACAGTGCATAGCAAGGGTGTTGGGATGCAGCCCAACCCTGTTTGTGGGTGCCCCGTGTCCTGGCAGTGATGAGGGAGTGAGAAAAGAAATAAGACAGGGCCAAGGGTAGACGTTCACAGCGTGGGTCTAGGTGTCCAACGCACTCTCTGGCAGGGTGATCTTCGTTGGCACTGAGCTGTGGGCTCCACACACTTTTATTGGGTGCATGATCTTGTTAATCTTGCAGGCCGTGGGGAGGAGGGTGGAGGAGGAAGATGGGGGAGAAGAGCATGTGTCTGCAACATCAATAGCAAATGTAGTTCTTCTAAGAAACGCTAACTAAGGACACTGAGTTTTTACCACCCATTCTCTATCCAGGTGCATTTGCAAAAGAGGCACAATGGATAGGGCGCCATAAGGTCTGAGCGCACACCGTGCATCAAGGGGTTTTTATCTCCTGAGCACTGTGGACACAGAGCAATCAGAATTACTCTATATTCCCAGAACACAGGCAGAGCCTGTGGCGTTCCAGTTCTCTCTGCCCTGCAAGACTTCCCTGTCCTGCAAGCTCCCGTCTGCAAAGGCCCTCCTGAGTCTTGTGAGCAGAGGTTGCGTTCCTTCCTAGAGTTCTTGCACAAGCCCTCCTTAGGAGACCCTCACGCAGACTGTGTGTTGGGAAGAGATCGTGGGACCGAAGCCACCTCTGCTGCCTCGCAACCACACCGCAGCGTCCCGCGGTTATGAAGCTCTCAGACAGTCTTCACTAGAGGCCTCCTGTTACCGCTTGATCTCTGCTTTTATTTTACTGCACCATAGTTTGGAGTTTTCTTAATTCAGTATTTGATCCGTGGCACAAATCTCAGTGTATAAAAAGCAAAGCAAGTTTGTAATCATTTAACTGTAAGTAACACAGGCCTGGCCCTGGCCATCTTTTCCTACAAAGGGGACCTTCAGTTCCATTTTACAGGTGAGGAAACTGAGGCAGTGGCAAGCTGTGGTCACACACTCCCTGAAAACTGCTCCATCAGTGGAGTCAGGATCTCCCATGCTATTTTCAAGATCCAGACAGTGCCAAGGTTCCTCTGGACCAGAACCTTCCTCCCTGCAGTCAGAGGGCACGCGGGGGCTTTGCCCTGCAGCTGTGTGCCTGGAATCTCTCTGTTCTGTCATTGAGGATGACAACACTGGCCTTACATGGTCATAGATTCCCGCAGACCCGCCTCCGTCCCACTGGGTGGTCTAAAGCCACACCTCCCTGCAGGGCGGGCTCACAGGCTCACCGCCTAAGCCCTGGCCATGACCGTCCTCCCATGGCTCAGCCCACCTAGCTTTCCAATCAAGGGTGCCACAGCCACTGCCCCTGGCTTTCCTGGGCAGTAGGTGGGTGATCATGGTGCAGTGCTTAGTTTAAAAGCAAAACAGCCGTGACAGCTGGTAACATCCCTCTTTCAAAGGGGAAAAACCTATGATGAGACCAGAAAGTATAATCCTGTACTGGGCACAATTAGAGAACTTGGACAACATTCTGAATTTATTCCACAGGATACAACTGGTCAATCATTTTCTCTAATCTCCATGTGGTTTCAAATAGTCTAGTTTCTTCAACAGTGAACTTGTTTTGACAAAGAGCTTATTCTAGGGACCAAACTCAGGGCAACTTCATACCTGTTGTCTCTTTTTTCACCAATTGTTGATCTACTTTTTTTATTTTCTTGATATGGAGTCTCACTCTGTCACCCAGGCTGGAGCGCAATGGTGTGATCTCAGCTCACTGCAATCTCTGCCTCCCGGGTTCAAGCGATTCTCCTGCCTCAGCCTCCCAAGTAGCTGGGATTATAGGTGTGCACCACCATGCCTGGCTAATTTTTGTATTTTTAGTAGACAGCTGTCACCATGTTAGTTAGGTTGGTCTCGAACTCCTGACTTCATGATCCGCCCACCTTGGCCTCCCAAAGTGCTGGGATTACAGGCGTGAGCCACCTTGCTCAGACTTTCAATCTACTTTGTAAGTTTTCAGGGCTGGGCTACACTTGTTTATTAAAGTAAATGTAATTGGCAAATTGCTTTTTAATTGTAATGTTGAAATAAAGTGACAAAACATTTAGTGATCTTTTTATTAATATACTCAGGGTAAGTTAACCCTTAAGCCCTAAAACAATAAAAATAAATTACTTAGATATTTTATAATTCTGGTACTTGAAATAAAGACAAATAGAAAACTATGTTAAAATATTAAAAACTTGCAAAATTTCATTACAAGTATTTACATTTGTATTCTAATGCCAATTTACACATACAATCCTTTTAAATTAGATTTAATAGAATATCTTGACATGAAAATAATAGAAATAAATATTAAATATTCAGAACATGAGTAAAAATTCAATTATTAGTATTCCAAATTTAGTCATTTTATTTATGAATGGCCAAGGGATCTTACAGTTCCTTTTAAGTTTTTTATGCCAGATTATCGGTCCCTTAACAATAGCCCTGTAAAGCTCTCAACAGTCACGAATCACTGGTAGGATCATTTCAACAAAAACACACGATTCGTCTGTAACTAACAAAAGAGGAATCTGTTTTAAATGAACCCAAGTTTGTCAATCACTAAAAATGACGTATTTTTATAAATGTTTTCTTTAAGTTCCGATACATAGAAAACACGTATATTTCTTAAAAGTTTTCATTGGTGAGAGAAGAATAATTCTTTGGTTAACTTTTCTCGTTCGTGTTCTATTTAAGGAACGAGTTCTATTTTGTCTGTTTTTTAAACATGGATTGGAAAATGGCCAGCATCTCTGAGACCAGAAAGGATCATTTCACAGACGTCTTGGGATCTTCGCTCTGTTTTGTCTCATAAAGATTCAAGTTATTTCTCTTCTTGTACTACTTATTTTTTTGAGATGGAGTCTCACTCTGTCACCCAGGCTGGAGTGTGGTGGCACGATCTGACTCACCACAACCTCCGCCTCCTGGATTCAAGCGGTTCTCCGGCCTCAGCCTCCAGAGTAGCTGGGACTACAGGCATGTGCCACCATACCTGGCTAATTTTTTTATTTTTAGTAGAGACAGGACTTTTCCATATTGGCCAGGCTGGTCTCCAACTCCTGACCTCAAGATCCATTCTCCTTGGCCTCCCAAAGTGCTGGGATTAGAGGCTTGAGCACTGCGCCTGGCCCCCTCTCTCCTTATACTTTAAAAACATTTAGCAGAGCATATTCTTAAAGATTCTTGGTAGGTCTTATTCTTACTTAGTATTCTGAGTCAACTGGCGGTATATTTACCAAACGTGGAGATTAATTCACACAAATTCATGGTTATTAACGTATCCAAACCAGGGAGTACATTGTTCAAATAGTGATTAGTTCTTAGATATTTTGTTGTTTCACACAGTTGGGAATTAAGAAATATCTATACACTAATTGCTTAATACAAACTCCATCAATCCCAAACCTTTCTAACTAGCATTTTCAAAATCTGCCCATGCAACACCCGTGAGGCAAGCAGAAGCCCCGGGGCACCGGGTGGGAGGGGACTGCCCTCAGTCCGTGGTAGCCTCGGCCCCTGGGAGCACAGGCTGGGGCTGGGAGAGCGTAGGTGCTTCCAGACAGCTCCTGACTCCCTCCATACAGTGGCCTGGACGTGACACAGGCCCCAAGCTACAGACGAAACCCACAGCTCACTCCCCCAGGACGGGATGGCTGGTTGGAGACAGTTTCTGAGGTTTGGTTACATCATTTGAAGCAACGTATTGATGTTTTAAACATCCTATGAACTGTCTGAAAAAAGTAAACATATGGGCCCAGTCACAACATGGAGTTGAAGGGATGGGACGGGCCCGCACCAGCAGGCTTCTGCGTGCTGCAAGCAGAGTGACCAGGTGGAAATTCATTTCCCAGTGACTTCCTCCACATTTCTTTAGGAATTCTAAAGTGGAGAATGCGAAGCGCCTCCGGGCAAAGGCAGGGCACGGGCCACACCTGTGTCCACCTCAGTTCCAGGCAGGCGCTGACGTCTGTCAGAGGCAGCGCTACTGGAGAAGCATCCAGCAAGGTGCTTGCCGAGGTGGGACCAATTCTCAAAAACAATACGAATTTAAAAAGATGTTCTTTTTTGCCTTTATTTCTTGCTCTAGTGGGAACGTGAGCTCTGCTACCCGGGGCTGAGCGCACTAGGCATGGCCAGCAGACGGGGCCTGCAGGGGGAGAAGGCACGCTGGAGGCCAGTGCGCTCGGCCACTCTCCCGGAACCACCGTGCGCCGAGCCACAGCCCTGTGGAAATTGTACTGCACGTGACAGAGAGCAGTGTGCAAAAGGTTTCCGGTCATATTTTATGGTAATTGCTCCCAGTACTAAGGAAAGTGGGGCCATGCCTGTGCTGCCGGCGGCCTGGCTAGCACCTCCCAGGTGGCGCCCTCTGGCTCTCTCTAAACAGGACGAATCCTCTTCTGATTCTAAGACAGGCCTGAGACAGCCCTGAAGGCTCAGCACACAGGGCGCGGGATCCAGGTGCTGCACACAAGGTCTTTGGTTACTCCCATTCGTATCGTGTGCATGAGAGCTGACGGCACGGACATGTAAGAGGCGTGCACAGCTGGAAGCCGGGGACAGCAGCCAGAGCATGGGGTTGCCAAGGCCAGAGAGTTCAGGAGAAATAGTGTGGAATCAGGAGACGTGCTCCATCCCTTACAAAGGAGCCGGAGTGCCGCGTCAGCGCCTGGCATGCGTCCTGCTGGAGCTCTTGCTCAGCCCGCCCTTTGGGGTGGGGATCTTGCTTCCGGCCTTTGACCCCGAGACGCCTGATGCAGCCACAGCTGACCTTCTCCCTGCAGAGCAAGCACAGGACTCACATTAAGAGGGGCGCTCCTACCCACAAACCAGATGTGGAACCTGTGGCCACAGTGTGAGTGGCCAGGGAGTGGTCAGATACCGAGCAACAGTGTCCGAGGGCCCATGGTGATGGCCAGCACCCGACTGCAGGACTCAGGGCTGGGCCTGGTGGGGTCTGCACAGTGGGCAGTGGTCACGTAGTCCCCAGGGGCCAGGCTGACAGTGGATGTGGGAAGTGGCTGTGCTGGCCGGCTGCACATGCACACGTGGTGGCACCAGCAGAGGAAGAGAATGCAGAGGAAACACGTGACATGGGGCAGAGGGCACAGAGCTGCCCTGGTATTAGCCTGGAACTCAGCTCCAGCAGCAGAGGCGGGGCGGCCACAGGGACTGGAGAGAGGCTTCCCGGCTGGCTGGCGGTCAGCAGGCGGCCCAGGAGCCTCTCTTTCCCCATGTTTGGCAGAGGTTGGGATGCCCTGTAGCCAAGTGCAGGCCTCAGCCCAGGGCCTGGCACATACCCGACACCCACAAACATCATCACTCCTCAAATACAGCTGTGTATTGAAGGCTTTGCCATCAGGAATAATTTTCTAATAAAAGAGATCCTATTTTCTTGCAAGGCATCCCAAATCTGACATGAAATAGCTAATCTGATTTCTAGATCAGGCAGTGGCATTAGCTATGAGTCTACTCTTTAGCTTCCTCTTTTTTTTTTTTTTGGAGACAGAGTATCACTCTGTCGCCCAGGCTGGAGGGCCATGGCGTGATCTCGGCTTACCACAACCTCTACCTCCCGAGTTTGAGATCCTCCTGCTTCAGCCTCCCAGGCAGCTGGGATTGCAGGCCCTCGCCACTGTGCACAGCTAATTTTTTTACAGGGTTTCATCATGTTGGCCAGGCTGGTCTTGAACTCCTGACCTCAAATGATCCACCCGCCATGGCCCCCAAAGTTCTGGGATTACAGGGGTGAGCCACCGTGCCCGGCCAGCTTCCTGATTCTAACACTCGTGTCAGTGATGCAGAAAGAGAAGAGGACTGGAGTGGGAGCCTTTGCACGTGGAGAAGGATTTTGGTCACACAATATGGTTAGCCTGCTTACTAAGGAACCAGAACACGAGAGAGAGGCTGGGAGACTTTTTTTTTTTTTTTTTTAAAGGGATGGGGTCTTGCCATGTTGCCCTGCTGGGGATGCTCTTTTGAGTAAGTGGAAATGGAGGGCTGGACTGCACCCGCTCAGTGCACTGGCCCTCACCTGGCTGCAGTGCTGGGGCCTTCTGCAGAACGTGTGTCTTGCGCAGGTTCATGGTGCAGCCGGCTGGGCCCATCAGGTGAGCTTTCCATGCCTGCAGCGGAGGAGGCACAGAGTTAATCAGGCAGGACTGACCTGGGGCACTACCTCAGACCCAAAGGGACTCACTGTGTAAGCTGAAAACGAGGGGTGGCCACACCGGCAGGAGCCGCAGAACAGTTCCGTCACCGGGACGCCTCCCTTTGGGTGTGTTGTGATGGCCTCTGCGGTCTGTGCAGAGTACAACTCAGGACACACCAAGTCCTGTTGCCAGGTGAGCCTGCGTCTGGTTCCCACCCAGCCACACAGGGCCCTTGGCGTCAGCGTCTCCGAGCACAGCAGTGTGTGCGCAAATGCAAGGGTGAGATGCAGGGTGCCCATGTGACTATGGGCCAGGCAAGAGAGTGTGTGCCAGGTCCCACGGGCTCCCCACCAGCCCGCTGCAGGCAGTTCCTCGTGGGGTTCCCACTCTTTCCATCCCTGTTCCTCCTGAGCCACGCCACATGCAATTGCCCTGCAGAATGTGGGGCTCACGTGGCCCTGACTGCCTGGGCAGCCGGCTTCTTTCCTTCAGGACCAGTTATGAGACCGTCTGCACGGAGACAGGGTTATAAAGGTGGCACCGCTGATTCCGAGTCTCTGGACATTCCGGTTGTTCCTGGCCTTTTCCCTTCTATTTAAACAGCCCTCCTGAGGCTGGACACAGTGGCTCACGCCTGTAATCCCAGCACTTTGAGAGGCCGAGGTAGGCGGATCACCTGAGTTCAGGAGTTCAAGACCAGTCTGGTCAACATGGTAAAACCCCGTCTCTACTAAAAATACAAAATTAGCTGGGTGTGGTGGCGCACACCTGTAATCCCAGCTACTCAGGAGGCTGAGGCAGGAGAACTGCTTGAATTCAGGAGGCAGAGGTTGCAGTGAGCTGAGATCACACCATTGCACTCCAGCCTGGGTAAGAGCGAAATTCCGTTTCAAAACCAAAAACAATGCTCCCCAGGGACACTGCTCCAGCCGTTCCCGCATTCTCTGATACACCAGTATCTCCACCAGACACATCCCTGCCTCTCCCTGGTTCCTCTCTCTCTCTCACCAGTGGCTGCCAGTGTCTGCCAGCCTGTGGCAGCCCCAGCCCAACCCCCTCCTGTCCTGCTTTAGCTGCTCCAGGCAGGCCTGGGTTCTGGTCTCTCCATTCCACCAGCATGAAAGCTGGGGCGCCTTCTCATCAGGACGTGACCCATCAGCATGGGGTGCACTTGCTCACCCCCTCCCTGGTAGAGGGACATGGCCTGCCCTAAAGGCTCTACTTCCTCCCTCCCCAGCACAGAGGCGGCGGGTCCCCCTCCATCCCTTGAATCTGGGTGACTGTGGTTTGCCTTGGTCAATGGAACAGTGGCAGACATGTGGCGGGGAGGCTGAAAGGAACGCGTGCGCCTGGGCTGGTCTCGCTGTTGCCCTCTGCCATTGCTGCGGGAATGCCATGCCCAGGCTGGCGTGCCGGGATCAGACACAGGAAGCAAGGCTGAGGCGCCGCAGCTGCCTCCAGACTGTCCTAGATCAGTCCTCAGCTGTGGACCCCAGGTGTGTGTGTGAGCCCAACCAGGCCAGCAAGAGTCAGGCGGCTGCGATCAGCTGAGCCCAGCCAGACCAGCAGGCGTCCTCTTTGACTGGCTGCACTCCTCCCCAGCACCTGGTTCGCTGCCTCCCTCCCACTCTGCCCGGGCTTAGCCCGTGGTCCTCTTCTGTCTGCACTTGCTCTTCAGGAGAGCGATTCCAGTAACATGACCTTACACCTACTTCTCATACACACCAACAACCCCACGTTTCCACCTGCAGCCGTCTGTCTAGCTGCCTGCACACCTGACACGCATTTTATCTCCATAGCTCCAGGCTGAGCTCCTGAGCGCCCTGGGCTCCTGACGGCAGTCACTACCTCACCACGTAGCAAGGACTCCACCAGCAAGTCCTGGGTCTGCCTGCAGTGTGCGCCCAGAATCTCACCGCTTCTCAGAAGTCACTTAGCTTTCTGCTACCCCCGACCTCTCTGTCCCACAGCCTCTCAACAGAGCAGCAAAAGTGGCTGGCATGGGGTCTGCCAAGTCATGCCCACCCTTCCACTCAAACCCTGCAGGGACATTGCCTTCCACTGACTTTGAAGAGTAACAGTCAATAGTTTTCATCCCCAATATTGCCTTTCAGTCTATGTCCTTTGATGAAGAGGTTCTCACCTTTTACAACTGAATAGTTTTACGATAGAGTCCAGTTCTGCCGTGTTAAGCACGTTCAGATGCTGTGCGCTCAATCTCCAGAACTCTTCATTTTACAAAACCCAAACTCTGCCCCAACCTTCTTCATTTTAATGGAACTGAACGTATCAGCCTCTTCCATCAAGGCTTCTGCTGCGTCTGTTTGAGAAATCCCTTCCTGGTCTGAAGTCACAAAGACATCCTTTGATCCACAGCCTCTCCTAAGAGATTCACAGTTGGGCCTTTCACACTGCAATCTCAGATCCACCTAGCTTCCTGTTTTTTCTTTGTGAGATGGAGTCTCGCTCTGTCGCCAGGCTGGAGTGCAGTGGTGTGGTCTTGGCTCACTGCAAACTCCGCCTCCCAGGTTCAAGCAATTCTCCTGTCTCCACCTCCTGAGTGGCTGGGATTACAGGCGTGCCACCACGCCCAGCTGATTTTTGTATTTTTAGTAGAGATGGGGTTTTACCATGTTGGCCAGGCTGGTCTTGATCTCCTGACCTGGTGGTCTGCCCACCTCAGCCCCCACAGTGCTGGCATCACAGGCAGAGCCCCCACACGCGGCCCACTCGGAGCCTTCGTCTAAGCGGAGTGGAGGGTGTCAAACTTCAGTGTTTACCCCTCTTCACATCATTCACAAAAATTCCAGATGTTAGAATTGGCACACAAGGACTTTAAAGTAGATTCTTAACGTCTGTTAGAGACCTTAAATGTGGAATGAAGTGCCCCTGATGGCTATCAGAACCTGGGCCAACCTTGAAATCATGTAAGTCAAAGACACAAAGGCTGCAGAGTGCACGATTCCATTTACAGGAAGTGTCCAGAGTAGGCAAATCCCTGGAGACTAAAACTAGACAGATGGTTGGCAGGGGCTGGAGAAGGGGCTGGGGAGAAATGGGGCCGCGCTCAGGCAGTGCTATCTTGTGGGTGATGGAAAAGCTCCCAGCGTGTGCTGATGGTTGCACAACTCTGAATACATGAGAACCCGCTGATCTGTACACGGGGAGATGCTGAGCAGCCTAGACCTCCATAAATCCGTTAAAAACAGGTGCTCTTAGTAAGTGAACAGATGTGAACCTCGGTAGAGAAATGAAACGTAAAAAAATCCCAGCCAAATACAAACACTAGAACTAGAAAGTACAAGATTGGAAATGAAAAATTCACTTAACAGAGGACTGGAGAGGGAGGGAAGGAGACAGGGCATGGGGCCCTTCAACTAGAACAGAAAGGAGACCCCGGACACAGCCCAGTGAGCCACAGGGCAGACCCAACGCTCTTCACACTCACAAGCCCATAGGCAGGAGAGAAGGGAGGGAACGCTGGCAAAACAATTCACACAAAATTAGAAAGACACGTCTCGGCAGGCTGGAGTGGCCTCAAGGAGTGAGCTGTCCTGCAGAGAGGCCCCCAGTGTTGAGGACGGTGGGGGCCTCTAGGAGCTGAGTGGCTCTGGGTTGACAGTCCCCAAGAACATGCGACCTCAGTCCCATAACCACAAGGAAGTATTACTGCCAGCTGCCGGGATGAGCCTAGACGTGAGTCCTTCCCTAGCAGGGCCACAGATGAGAACACAGCCGGGCTCTGGACCCAGGGAACCATGAGGCAGTAAGCGCGTGGCTGTTATCTGCCTACGCTGCAAGGTGTGTGGTGGTGTGTTAGGCAGTGTGGATAATTAGATCCAGGGAGGGCAGATGACACGTGAGATATGCCTGCTGATGGCACTGCAGGTACTGCCTGTGAGAGGGCGTCAACTCAAGTCCGATGCTGGAACAAGAAGGGGAGGGAGAAACGGCGGCTACCGGGGGATCTGAACACTGCTCCTAGTGGGCAACCAGTGACAGCAACAGAAACGGGACGATGGGCACCGCACGGGAGTATGAGTAAGTAACAACTCGAAGGTAAACACAAAGGCTCCTACATTCCGGAAGTAACCAGGGGTAAGAAAGGGGAACGATGCCCGTGGAGCAGCCCCTAGAGGGAGGCGGACGGAAGCAGGGCAGGGCGGCAGCCTCTGTCCCAGGTTCTTCAAGGATGCCTGATTCTACAGACCCGGAAGCATGTCTTCTGTAATTACAGAACTTAATTCTTTAAAGTCCCCTAGAAATGGAATATAAAATGAACGTGTTCACAGTTGGTGGCATTGCCAGCCAGGACGCACTCAAGTCCCTCCAACACAGGGCCACTGGGCCCCCTGTCGCCAGTGGAAAATGTTGTGAGGACAGGAACTGGGAAGTCTGACTTCCAGCAGAATCTGCTGCCAGTGGGGCGGGTGCCACTGTGCTGGGCTGCCCATGTACACTGGGGGACAAGGTGAATGGGTCGCCTGCGATCCCTGAATTCTGTCTCCAGGGCCTTTGGAAACCGGGGCCCAAGGATGGAAGTAAGGAGACACAGACGTTGGGAGAGACAAGGTTAAATAAGGCCTGCAGCGCAGGACAGGAGGGGAAGTGTGTGTGCACGAGCGACGGAGCCTACTTCCCTCCATCTCTCCTGGCTGTGTCCACCGAGAGCCCAGCCACCGCGACCCACCTGGCAGCGGTGAGCCTGAGGCCCCCAGTGCTGTCCTGAGGCCCATCCCTACTAATGGGAACCAGGCCTCTGTGAGCAGCTGGCCGATTCCAGGTCCAGGGCAGGAATGGACTGAAAAGGAGGGAGCTCTCTGCAGCTGCTTGGGTCTCATCAAAGTCTCAGGAGCCCAGCTGAAGAGTATGCCATTGGCCAGAGCTGGGACAATTCATGCGTCACTAAGCACGGTAACTGCATGGAACAGAGTCCCAGGGCTCAGCATTCACTGCCCGGCATAAAGAGGGCACCGCCAGCCCATTGTGTTGGACAGGGCCAGAATAACTGACAGGGAGCCTTGCACGCCAATGTCCCTCCTCATGGCCTCCAACGTCAGAGGAGCCGAGTGTATGGGGAAGCGGAGGGTGTGCATGTGCGAGCTGGCCCTCCCCACCGAGCCTGCTGAGTCACAGTGTAGCGCACACTGGGGCAGGGAGGAGAGCTTGGAATCAGGGAGGAGAGCTTGGAATCAGGGAGGAAGGAAAATTGTTTAACCAAATAGGGCTGGGTTTTATTAGGCAAAGAAGACTGCAGTGTTATAGAATCTGGCCAAGATGTCACTGAGGGCCTCAGTATCTGGAAAAAGGCAATGGCCAGAACAAAAGAAAACCATGTCATGCTTGTACCCCAGTGACACAAGCTGGGCTTCGGTAAGCTGAGGCTCCTCCATAAACCATTTGTAAACGGAGGGAAGGAAATCGTGTGAACGTGCAGGTAGACGGAGAACTGTTCAGACAGGGCTAACCAGACGCTGTCTACTACCTGAACGCTCATGTGCTGTGCTCTGGTATGGCTCAGCACTAACACCACCACCACCACTACCACGATCACCACCACCACCACCACCGTGATCATCACCACCACCATCACCACCACTGTGACCACCACCACCACCACCACGATCACCACCATCACCACCACGATCACCACCACCGTCACCACCACCACCACCACGATCACCACCATCACCACCATGATCACCACCATCACCACCACGATCACCACCACCGTCACCACCACCACCGTGATCATCACCACCACGATCACACCATCACCACCACGATCACCACCACCGTCACCACCACCACGATCACCACCACCGTCACCACCACCACTGTGATCACCACCACCACCACTGCCCACAGGTGTTACCTACTTCACTGGTCCCTTCCCCAGCTAGGCCCCTCACCTCTTCTCCAGGGGTGAAGTTCTCATGGCACAGAGGACACCGGTTTGCCAGCTTCTCTGGTTTGGCAGCTGAAATGATTTCAAAAAGACACAGTCACTCCCTGAATGACAAGTGCCCGCCAGGTGCCCTTTAATTCACAAAGCCCTTGCAGATGCCCAAGAGCAGTAGCGCTTCCTCCAAGAGGACACCTGGGACCTGCGGGCATGGGAGCCTGGGAAGGGGCACTCACGGTTGCAACCCTTGTTCTTTATGTGTCTGGGCAGCTCTTCCTTCAAAACCGCCTCGCTGCAACGGAAACACTTTCCAAACCCGTCTTTTTTGTCACATTCCGTCAGCAAGTGCTCCGTCAGACTGGATATCTCGACCACCTGGATTTCAAAATACAGAGCAAAGTGTATTGCTGAGAAAGCTGAAAGCGTCCTCCACGGCCACCTGCACAGCCTGTGAGCGCCTCCCTCTGTCCATAGAAATCAGCACGGCTTTTCTGTGTCACCTGCACACGAAGTGAGCCAGAGTCTTTTATCTTTGGCATCTGCCCCAGACTGTCTGGAATCACTTGCGATACTTTGCTGAAGACCCTGTGTCCTTCCTTTCCTGCCATCTGAGCATTGGGCAGGGGTCACTGGAAAGGAAGGGGGAAGCCACAGTCGACCCGAGTGGCTCAGTGGTTACACGTGTGGCCCTGGGTTCATATCGTGGCTCCCCAGTATTTCTAAGAATGCGCACAGAAACAGGACGACAGAAGAGAGTTTTAAGAGATTCTGTCACTCTGTTGGCTTCTGGCAGGAATGACTTGTATATGGTCTGTAACTTGAGGCTGCAGGACCTGACAGACTGTGAGCCAGTTCAACCTCTTTTCTTCATAAATTACCCAGTCTTAGGTATTTCTTTTTTTTTTTTTTTTTTGAGATGGAGTTTTGCTCTGTTGCCCAGGCTGGAGTGCAATGGCGTGATGTTGGCTCACTGCAACCTCCGCCTCCTGGATTCAAGTGATTCTCCTGCCTCAGCCTCCTGAGTAGCTGGGATCACAGACATGTGCCACCATGCCTGGCTAATTTTGTATTTTTAGTAGAGACAGGGTTTCTTCATGTTGGTCAGGCTGGTCTCGAACTCCTGACCTCAGGTGATTGGCCCGCCTCAGCTTCCCAAAGTGTTGGGATTACAGGCGTGAGCCACCGCGCCCAGCCAGGTGTTTCTTTACAGTAATGCAAGAATGGCCTAATACAGGGGGTAGGAGAACACTTCTTAACACAGGACACGAAAAGCATGAATCATGAAAAAGATCGGTAAGGTGGGCAATCCTAAAATTACAAATCTTCCTCAAGACACAGAAGACAGCAAAGGTGCATGCTGTGGAGTGGGAGGAGTGGTCAATTCATGCAATGGACCAAGCACTCACATCCACATGTGTAAAGAATGGCCCCAAATCAATAAAAACAGACGGACAAGCCAAGGGCGATGGGTGAGACCAGAAGGTGCTTTGCAGGAGGACGCCCGATGCCTGCAGACAAAAGGACAGGCTCTCCACCTCATCCTCACCAGGGACACGCTCAGCGGGAGCTCGCCAAGTCAGCGGGAAGCATGGCCACAGCGGCACTTGGGAAGGGGGACCGAGGCGGTGCTACTGGTTGCGGTGCCGGGTACAACCCCTTTGGAGCACTCCTGGGCAGCCCCACTGAGCATCAGCACACCCTGCAATCCACGACACATTGTGAACCCAAGAAAGTACATTTCTGTGCGCCCCGAAAGACACTGGAACACTGCGGCAACATGGTTTGCCATGGTCCCAAATGGGACCTGCCCATATGCAGAGCAGTGGATGGATGAAGGCACTGTGGTCTATCCAAGCACAGGACACTAGAAAGCAAGAAATCAAACACGACACAACACGGCTCCATTTTTATGAAGCTCAGAGAGCGAGGAGCGTCCATGTTGGTGCTGGAATCCAGGCCCCCGCTGACCATGGAAGCAGCCCTGAGGGGCGGCGGTGGCACAGCACACTCACGGTTCACTGGGCTGTCATATGAATGACTTGCACACGTTTTTAGGTATGTGTTCGCCTTCAGTTACTTTTCTCACAGGCTTTCCTTTGAAAATACTAAGACTTGGGACAGCTTTGTGACTTGGCCCTTCAGCAGCCAGAGGTCCACGCGCACACGAGCAGCTGGGCTGCTGTGCCCCTGGCCTGACCTGTTTGCAGTGGTCACATCTTGTCAGCATGAGACAGTGCTTCCAATAGTGGAGATCCAGGCCTTCCTCTGTGAAGGATTCGCTCCTTTCCCCACAAAAAATACACAAACTAAAAGGAAAGAAAAGCAGGAAATAAAGGTAAACATCTAGTTCCAGTGATGGCCGTCCTGCTCCCACTTCACCAGGAATCCCTAATTTCCCCAGGCCCTGTGATGTTTGCACTTTCCCTCTCACCCCGAACTGCCTCAGCTTGCTCTGCGGGGCCCAGGCTGGGCCTCCCTTGCGGGCGGCAGCAAAGGCCGGGTGTGCCACGCGTTAAAAGCACCACAGGAAAGCCTTCAGCAAGGAGGTGCCTGAAATTACGATCCTTCCAAACTCTCACTCCGCATAATCAATCAGAAAAGATATTTTAAGTTACAAGAAAAAAGATAAGACCAAGACCCTACATTTGTATAGATCTGTCTTGGCTGCCGTAAAGTCAGAAGGATCTTGCTGCTGTGAGAATGTGTGCCTGTAACCACAGTTCTGACAAACAGACCGGCGACTTCCACTGGGGCAGCAGAGGGAAAGCTGTCTGCAATGACTCCGCGTAGGTGCTGGTGAGTGCAGAAGGCACATTTCCTAGCTTTTATGATGACTATGAAGGGCCGACTAATACACACATTGCAGTGAACTAGGGAGGATGTGTTCCCTTTCCACGGTTTCTGCATGGCTCCTTGTCCTGACCGTCACACAGGGGGTGGAAGACAGAGAGACTCACTTATCTA